GGTTTGTTAGAATAAGACAATATTTGGCGCGAGATACAACTATTTGAAAATCGGGAGTCTGACTAAATTGCCTTTAAAGTTGTCCAAATGAAGTTCTTAGCAATGCATATTACTAATCAAAAATTAAGTTTTGATATATTTGCGGTAGAAATTTACAAAATATCTTCATGTAACATGATCTTTACTTAATATCCGAACGATTTTTGGCATAAAAGAAAAATCGATCATTTTGACCCATACAATGTATTTGTAACGAAGGAGGAGTCGTGACAGTATTGTTGGCTATTACTACAAATATACCAGTGCTACTTATGACTGGTTTTGTGCTCCAGGGTCACATATATAATAATAGTAGTTTAATGTCACTCTTTGTCCAGATGGTGTCGCTGTGGCCGTTCTCATCTCAGCCGCGGGACTTCAGCCAGCCCAACTCCTCATGGAGTCCAGAGATGCACAAGGCTTACGACCACTATAATGCTCTGTGTGACACTGACACCGAAAATGGTGAGGAAAAAAGGGGGCCGTGGAGGAAGTTGCCCAGCTACAACCGTTCCATTAAATATGCTACTGGTAAGCGATTAATATGTATTTGCATAGTTTCTTCTAGTCACTGTTATCAGTAAAATAAATTACGGTGGCCGTGAAGTGCAAAACAAATCACAATTCTGAAAACAAAATAACAAATTACAAACGCAAATGCAAGTCTAAAAAACAAAATAACAATTCAGAAAACACAACAACAATTCAGAAAACATTATAACAAGTCAGAAAACACAATGACAAATTTGAAAAACAAGTCAGAAAACACAACGACAAATCAGACAAACCGGAAGAGGTAGGTATAGTTTGAGACAGCACCATTGGTTTGGGATTACTCACCGCTGACTGGACGAGACATCTGTCAAGCAACGTTTATAGGGAAGAACCAGCCCGAAGAACAGCAGAGTCGTGGTAGAAAGTTCGGAGATGGTATTAAAGTAGCTCAGTTTAAATGTATTGTATGAATTGCCCTTACTATGGAATAAAAAATACGGGGTGTCTATTTACATTTAGTTAAAAGTGGCTGTGAATCATCAGCTCCAGTGGCGCAGATAGATAAGCGCGTGTCGTCAGCTTTTTGACGTGATCGACCCGGGTTCGATCCCATCTTTTGCCGAAATGGTGTGATAATGCAATTTAGTGTAAAAGCGAATGTCACATTGTTTCTGTCCCGTAGGCGGCATTCACCTCAGCAAACTGATCCAGGCCAAAGCTCGACTTTTCACTAGAAATGTTAAAGAGCAAGGCGCTACGTTTGAGTATATGGTGTTTGTCAATAAGGAGGAGAAGAGATGTGTTTGTGTCTTTCAGGCAGGACATTTACTAGAAGGTGCACCTGGGTAAGGAGCTGCTCTATTCTATGTGTATAATATATCTGTATCCCACATTTTCATTTATAAAGAATGGATGAACAGGAGATGATGTTACTCCTATTTCCTGTGTGGCAGGCATGTACATGGTGGAGCCATAGCCACCATGATTGACACAGTGACAGGTACTCTTGCCGGTTTCCTCTCGGGACCAGTTATGACTGCCAATCTGAACATAGACTACCGCAGGTGAGATAATGTTTCAGTACTTAAGTCTTTCAAATACAGTTGCCATTATTTTTCCAGTTGACACTGGCTTAGATCATCTGTGATCCCACCTGATAAACTCTGTTCTCCTGTACAGTCCAATGCCTCTGGGTAGTGTGGTTTTAATCCACAGTGCTCTGGATCGAATAGAGAGGAGGAAAACGTACATCACTTGCAAAGTGACCAGCACTGATGAGTCCAAACTCTACACAGAGGCCACAGGTAGAGAACACATACACGCAAACCAAATATCATGTATGTTTGTATGTGTGAATTATAAGTGTGAAAATATGCATGAATGTCAGTGTCAGTCACAATAGTGATTTAAGTTTTTCATGTACAGTAGGTCTATTCAGCTAAAGCATAGTGTAATACAGATTTTGTTGTTATTTGATTAACGTTAAGGACATCGACAGCAGGTATATTAGGCTGCTTTAACTTTAATACTTAATACACATATCCAATGGAATGATACACATTTAATTGTATCACAGCTGTTTATCTAGGGTGACCATACATGCCATTTTTCCAGGACGCGTCCTGGCCAGGATTTCTATATTGCCTAAAATATCTAGGTTTTGGCTTTGTTTGAGTGTGCAGACCGGTCGGTGTATGACATCAAAATACCATACAGATGGTTATGCTTTCGAAACGCTCTCGAGGTACTTTGATGTCAAACACTGATCGGTCTGAGCCGCACTGCTTTTAAGTCGAACACACCTAATATGTACGCGTAATTGCATCGCTTTGACCGTAGATCCCACCTTCTCACACGCCATGATTGGTCCATTATGTACAATGCTTGCATGTTATTGGTCAAACTACTTTTCGATCATTACCTTCAGCAAGCATGAAAACAGGAAAACAAAGCCAAAACAAATCCTGGCCAGGACGCGTCCTGGGAAAATGGCACATATGGTCACCCTAGTTTATCATCACTTAAGATAGGCCTATAGCTAACTGTGATTACTATAATATTCACCAAGACAGGGACTTTGTCATAATTTTGTGACATAAGATAAGCAAGATAAAGACGCGAAAGAGAAGTTCAGCCAAAAATAAAAATTCTGTCATAATTTACTCACCCTCAGGTTGTTCTAAAGCAAGTTTCTTTCTTCTGTTGAACATAAAAGATGTTCTGAAGGATGTGGATAACCAAACAGTTGCTGGTCTGTATTGACTTCCATAGTATGGAAAGAAAAATACTATGGATGTTAATGGCTACCAGCGACTATTTGGTTACCCACATTCTTTTGTGTTCAGTAGAAGAAAAAAATCATATAGGTTTGGACCAACAAGAGGGTGAGTAAATGATGAAAAACATTATTATTAGACTCTATTAGACAGTGCATGAGTACTGATTTGAGTTCTTTTTGACATCTACTTGCGCTTAAATGGTTTAATAATTGCTTACATTTTTAAACTGGCTGGCAATACTTAAAAACACAAGCAAATGATAAACTTTCATGATGGCGCAGCACTGGCCGATCGGCCCAGTGACAATTACATCAACAGTTCCAAGAGTCTTTCATGCTGACCCTTGCCATCAGACAGTCCTGCATACTTATGTACTATCTTTAATTCTTAATTTTTCCTCACACTCTCTTTTCCTTCATCTTTCTTGCCTTGCAGCTCTATTTGTTTCAATAAGTGTCGGCCATTTATTTGGATCACGAAACTGAAAGCAGTCTGGAATCCACCACTGAGACATGTACAGCATGTGGGTGCATATATGTATGCACATGAATGAGATTGCAGATGGAGTGTGTGCGCAATGAACAACAGATCAAGCTACTGTTTTACCTCAGCTCTCTGAATGAGCTATTCAGAAATGCATGTATTTGAGTGATGCACTCAGTTACATATGGCTGCCTCGTATTTTTATTTTTAAAATTAAAATGTATTAACCTGGTATATTTATTGACACGGTATTTGATTTTTTGTTGCAGAACTCTTTTTGTTACTAACTCTAACTTTTTAATCATCATGGTGACAGTCAGGTTCTTTAGTAGGCTATTACAAGTATTATATAACGAAAACTTCTGTAATATATTTTAGCAGTACTGTATTCCATATTGTGTTAAAGAGAATCTGACTTTTGTTACAAATGGAAAGGTGTGCATTTAAATAATATTATATCTAGTTATAAATAATATTTATAACTGCCTTCATTAATGCCATTAAAGTCGGTAATCAAAAATTGTGTGGTTGTTTTAAAATGTCCTTTTGTTATTCAGAATATTGACAAAATTGAAACAGCCCATTGTAGGAATTAATGCATTGATATCATCCTCATCATCTGTTTATATTATGTGGATTTAAAGTAAAAAAAAAAAATTTTTTTTTTTAATCAGATTATTAATAATACTGTCATTATGAATAAGATCGGTTGAATTTATGCATATTATTTACATATGTTTATTGACCGGGGCAGGCTCAGGGCACATAAAAACAGAGATCTGGAACTAGGAAGGCCTCAGGTGTCTGCTCTGAGACTGAGGCATCCTTGGCGGCAGTGAATAGTAATGTCTGTGGCAGGAGTGACAGTAACCTCTAGGCCCCAGCTCTGGAACGCTTTGAGAGGAACTTTCTTGGATCATTTCAGGTTCCATTCACAGCTGCAAAAAGAATGTCTGTGAGTGGACCAAGAAAGAGATCTCTGGGACCAGAGTGGCATTGGTGCCGGCCCTGCACTGAGGATCTTTGAGTGCTGACTTTGAGACAGTTTCCTTTACACTAGCAGTGACAGCACTGGGAAGGCCCACACATTAAGCGGGCAAAAGACAAATTCTGATAAAAATGGCAGCTTAAGTAAAACATGAAAAACTCATAAATGCCTCCAAAGGTAGTGATCACCCTCAATATTCATCCTTTCCCCATTAGCTGCAGGACTTGTTTCCTTCACATATCATTATGACGCCACAATTTACAGAACCAACACATTCTATGGGGCCTCCCACAGTTACAGTCTGAGAAACATGATGTTCCACTGATGCTTGTGTAACGTTGCTGGCCAGTTTTCATGTGGGAAATTCAACTGCAGCAAGTGGATATGGCAATGTTCTTTTTAGAGTTGTTTTAAACATTCTCTTGTAAGATACTGAGAGTTTTCAATTAATTTTATTTACAGTTTATTTCCATGTAAGGCTCTGTGGCTGTAAGTTTGCCGTTGTGTTGCAGGAATTGCACTGGCCTTATATTCAAGGTTTCTAAACATTTAGGACGCCTATCTGCAGTGTCGCTCTTTCTTCAGAAGATGTCGCTGTTTCCGTTCTCAATTCAGCTGCAGGACTTCAACCGAATTGACCGAGGAGTCCAGAGATGCACTGAGTACGCCATTATAATGCTCCGTAGAGTGACACCGGAAATGGCAAGAAAAGGAGTGGGGCCCCCTGTATGTTTTAGCCAGGACATTCACTGGATGGACCTTCTAGGTAAACAAGTGCTTCACTCACTTAATTATATAACACTTAATGTAAAATAAAAATGTCAATGTGTCATTCAAAATGTTGTTGAAATATTGTAGCTCAATCTTTTAGGGTCTTAGCGCCTCAAAATATGAATGCCACAGTTTCAAGGCACAGTAAACCCTAACTAATTTGTGAAGGATGGGGGAGTCCCATGTTATGTCTTAGAACAGGAAGTGATGTCAGATTATTTTCCTGTGTGGCAGTTATTTACATGGGAGGCATAACCACTATGATTGACACAATGACTGCTGATACTTACTGCCCTTATTTGTTCAATGGTTTGAGTGGTTTTAGGGATTGAGCATCAGGGTTGACACTTGTTCAACTCTTTTCTTTCTGTCCAGTCCAGTTCCTCTGAGTAGTGTGGTTTTCATCTACTGCACTCAGGATCAGATCTCAGAAAGTGATGAGAAACTTCCATCACTTGTAAAGTGACCAGCACTGGTGAGTCTAAACTCTACACTGAGGTTGCAGGTAAACATACTCTCATATCTCTGTATATATTATGTAAGAAAGAAAACAAGCTGATGTCATTGATGCACTAAGTGTGAAAATATGCATTAATACGCAACCAAATCTGACTACCTGAAACCACTTTATCCACACACCCACATAGACTCATTGCACACCTGTGGGTTGTTCCCAATACAGAGATCTGCCTAACACACACTTAACTGTTTGCTCTGTGCTCATCAGTCTGAACATATGCTTTTTACATCGTACACTCCATTAGAGGAAATGCATTGCGGATTTTACCTAGTAAACTGAACTTGTACCTTATCTACTTATCTCTATTTTTTTCTCACACTCGTTCTCTTCCCCTGTTTCGCTCCTGGTAGTTCTATTTGTGTCAATAAAACTGGGTTATTTATTTGGAGCACGAAGCTGAAAGCAGCCAAAAATCCACCACAGGCCATGTGCATGTGCACACATCTCTATACACGTGAGTAAGATCGCAGGTGTGTGTTTGAGGTGGTGTGTGTGTGTGTGTGGGTGTGTGCGCAATGACCAACTGATCTAGCTGATATTTAACCTAATCTCTGTGAATGGGGTATTCAGAAATGCGCACATGTAAGCGCTACACCGAATCCACTCTATAGCACCACTCACTCATATTGGGGAAACATTATTATTATATATATTTTTTTTTCAATAAACAAAATTGTTTTAAAAGCATTGTAAGCGATTTCTGCTAGAATAACGTGTAAAATGTTCCTACTACCTGACAGTTATGGCTGAAATAACTGTCCTGTGACTGTCTAGACTGAAAAACAGCAACAACAACAAAAAAAAAATGAATGAATGAATAAACAATACAGTAAAATTAAAAAATAAAAATCTATCAATCAATAAAAATAAATGAAAAAGAAAAAAGTAGTAAGATGGAGCTGATCCACACTTTTTTAGCCAATTGTCATGTTGCAGAAATGTATTAATTTATTTGTTTGTTTTTGAGTTATAGTTTTTGGAATTTTTGAAGTGTTTTCTGTAGTATTAAGAGTATTACAAAATAATATATAAATTTTTCAATTGTATTATTAGGAATGACTTTTATTTTTGTACGATTTAATTAAATCTCTTAACACTTAAATTACAGTAAAAAAAACAGTAATCTCTATGCACTTGTCTTTCCTATAGAAAGAAGCAAGATATCCATCATATCCATATTGTGCTTGCATGAAATCCATTTGGTGTGAGTTTCACATTCTGCATATATTCCAGTAAAGAGAACTGACTGACACCGCAGTGTTACGGTAATGAATGACACATTGTCCACATCAGAGGAGTGTACATTCATATGTGGAGACTTTAAACTCAGCATCTCTGTGTAAATACTGCCATGCGGTGCAGTGTGACTTCATATGCCTTGCTACCACTCATGGGCATGTGAAGCTGGAGCTTTACAGATAAATATATGTATAATTGTTGTCTTATCGCCTTGTTATCCTCATGTGAATCTGACTTAGATAGATAGAAAGAAACATCTAGACCTGCATCTCTGTGGTGGCCCCTGCAGTCTCCCACAGGCCTCTCGCATATGATGTATGTAGGACACAGTCTGAGGTGGGTTTCTATCTATGGAGAGGTGTTGAGTGTCTGGTCAAGTGGGCTTTGCGTGATGGCTTCTGTGGGAACACTTCAACATAGCTCTGCGGGGAGATATTTTCCATGAGTGGTGTTAACGTTCAAACCTGGGTCTGACCAAAATGCCATTTCCATCATCTCACCGTTGCCTCTGCTGAGATCCATTTTACTGGCAGTTCAGAAATTGTAGTCAAAACCTAGCCTTTACATTGACGTTGCCGTGACATGCCGGCTTTTTATACTGTTAATAATTAGAAACATAATTACACTCTTAAAAATAAAGGTGCTTAAAAGTTTCTACACAGCGATGCCATAGAAGAACCATTTTTGGTTCCACAAAGAACCATTCATTCATCTCTTTCTTACCTTTTTATAATCTGAAGAACCTTCTTTCGCCCCATTAAGAACCTTTTGTGAAACAGAAAGGTTCTTCAGATGTTAAAGGTTCTTTATGGAACCATTTAGACAAAAAGGTTCTTCTATGACATCGTGAATCACCTTTATTTTTAAGAGTGTAATAAATATAACAATAAATAACCAGCTCTCTGCTGGAGAACCCATTAAGGTGCGATCACATTTACTGTTGTTCGGCAAATTTTCGATCATGAAATAGAATCGTTTTAATAGGAATTCGTGTGATCAGGAAATTTTTCATGAAGGTGAAAGACTTTCTTATGCAGATTTCACATCAGGGTCAAGCTGGACATGCAAATTTGCTGCACTGACCAACAACAAGCTGCTTGGTTTTAAAGTAAGTTCTGTGTGAGCTGTGCTTCATACATCGCTTTACTAGAGGGGCCCAATGCGGTATACTGTATAGGGCCCAGTGGTGCCAATGACTGGGGGTGCTTGTGGTCATTTGCACTGTTTGTGCTGAGGATTCTTATAGTAATCTCAATTTTGGAGGACCATGACAGTTTGAAGCCCTGTCTCTGGTCCTTGAATGTCTGGAACAGACATTCATATAATATAGACCTAAAGGGATAGAATACCCCAAAATGAAAATTCTGTCATTGTTTACTCATCCTATAGATGTTGCAAACCAGTATGATGTTCTTTCTTCTGTTCAACACAAAAGAAGACATTTTTGAAGAATGTTGGCAACCAGTCAGGTAACTATACTGACTTCCAACATATGGAAAAAAGTACTATGGAAGTTAATGGCTACCATCAACTTGGTGAGTAAATGATAAATTAATAAATTAATACCAATGCCAGATGTACTGTATATTTCTATGCCCTAAACCCATAAAATAAGTTTAGGGAAAGTGGATAAAGATTAAGGTGTACATTGATACAATGTCATCAATATTTACCAGTGGAATGCATTATAGTGTGTGTGGACACACTGACGTATACTCTTAAAAATAAAGGTTCCAAAAGGGGTGTTTTTGCAGTGATGCCATAGAAGAACCATTTTTGGTTCCCAAAAGAACCTTTCAGTGAACAGTTCCTAAAAGAACCATTTTGAAGAACATTTTAAAAATCTAAAGAACCTTTTTCAACTAGAAAGAACCTTTTCTGCATTTGAAAGTTTCCATGGTTGTTCAAGGTTCTTCATTCATAGAACCATTGATGCCAATAAAGAACCTTTATTTTTAAGAGTGTAGTCGCCTCCTGTCATCCGGTGACAGTTCAGTGTTGAATTGACATTACATAACACATGAGGATTATTGGCCTTGTGCCTTAAACCAGTGAAACTTCTCTCTTTATAAAAGAAAAAAGACATATTAGACACCTGAGAGATAAATTATAGGGTAACACTTTACTTGAAGGGGTGTGCATAAGACTGACATGACACCTTCATAATCATGACATGACACATGTCATGAATATGAAGGAGGTTTTATGCATGTTTATGACAACTGTCATTAAGTGTCATTCGCTCAGTTATGTAATTTTTAATGCAAAGATGACATTGTTTGAGATGTCTTTGTTATGGGCTATGGTTGTCAGTCTTATGCACACCCCTTCAAGTAAAGTGTAACCAATTATAGAGTTACATTAAAATGTTTAAACATTATTATTTTATCCAGTTACTAGTTTGGTAGCTAGCCTACTATATATAAAATGACATCAGAACAGATTTTTATTTTTTTTTTAAGCAAAAAATGTGTCTTGTAGTGTAGTGTCATGTTATTATACATTTAAATAACGCACATAACATTAAAGTGGACTGGACAGAAAGCCTCATAAACTGCTCTTCAGTCTCCAGTTAAAAGCATTACTCTCTCGCTTCCCGCGACTATTACATAATGATTGATGACATAACACCGTACTGGCTCGGGACAGCGCGAGCGCTGTGCGAGCCGGAGGCCACTCGGTCGATTTATCCAACAAATGTCTGTCCGTCTCTCTCTTTCTCCAACTCTCCGGGACCGCTCAACGATTTGTCTTTCCCTTTGAAATGTCAATTACGCACGTTAGTTACATTCAAACGACAGCGGAGCGGGGGAACGTGTTGACAGAAACCTTGTTTGTTTATTGACCAGACGCGCCAACTTTTAGGGAATAACTGAAAATGGCGATGTGCTTGTTAAAACGTTTGCGGCGTCCCGGTCGTTAAAGCGGCAGCAGTTGTCATTTCCCTTTTGTTTTCTTTATTTTAAGTTGGATTCTAGTTTAATTAATTTAATTTAGTTACCCCTAACCACAAACGATTCGGGAAAGAGGTGTGTTGGCGGACAGAGTTTTGACTGGAAAGTAATGGAAAATGATGAGCCTGCATCACCGGACCCGAGCCATGACAGCACTCAGAGTAAAAGAGGTAAGCGTGTCCTTCATTAACCCATTACATACCTAAATGCTGCGTTAGTGGGAAATGATCTCAGATTGTGTGTGTGTGTGTGTGTGTGTGTGAGTGAGAGAGAGTTTCACACACTTGTGAAACGTGGAACAAACTCGCACACACATTCAGTCATAGATATGAGACCAGTGGCACTCTAAAAATACACCCCTTATGTGACAGAAGTGCCTGTCTGTGCGCCAGCAGTCCCACACTAACCCACAGCGCTTGTGCCAAGCCTGGGCCAAGCGAGCCAGCGAAACCACAACTCTGTGACTTCTGTCACTTCTCCCTCTGATCCAGCGTGCATTCACAAGAGTGTGCTGTGCTGTCTTATCTATTCTTGTTGAACGTGCAGTGTCACGTCTTCAAGTTTGGGAGTTAAACTTTGCGGTGTGACAAATTTTGTAAAGTTTGAAAAATTCTATGTACATTCTTAAAAATAAAGGTTCTTTATTGGCATCAATGATTCCATTAAGAACCTTTAACATTGATGGAATCGTTCCAATATGTTTTTTATAGTGCAAAAATGTTCTTTCAATTATTACAATTTTCTTTACTTGTTATTTAAATGCTATATATATATGTGAATAAATTTGAATAGTACATAAAAGTGAGCACATTTTTGTAATTATTTTTAAGTTAGGCTCCGTAATATATATGGACATTAGGCTATTAATTGTGTGCCTGATTGTGTCTGAGACAGGGAAGGAACAAAAAGTCAGGGAAATAAAAGAAAAAAAGGGAATGGAAAGCGATACCCATTGACCAAGTAGCACAGAGATAAGACTATACTTTAGTTACTGAAATGGAATTCCCTCAAGGGTGTCTTATTAGGATCTTGCAACCCAATAGGTCTCTTTAGGGCCTTATTCAACTGAAAGAGTATTGCTTTAATTGGAAACTGGTGTATTGGGTTATCTGAAGTTGAACTTTTGGCTATTTCACTATTACGACATTCTTTCGCTGAGATCAGTTTGTTCGGTGACCTTATTCTGTGTAAACTGGAAGTTAATGCAGGTGTGTAGCTTGTTAACCATTAACCCCGTTCATGCAATACATGTTCAGGCAAAAATTTAAGTGCATGGAAAGTGGATGATTTAATTCAATTTAAATTATTTAAATTAGTATCAAATAATACATTTCAGTTGTTTTTGATGTCATTATTTAGTCTAAATGGCATGAAAGGTTGTTGCACTTTAATATATTGAATTATGCAAGATTAGTTTGCTCAGTGTTGTATTTCATATAACAGTATTTGTAATGTTTAAAAAATATATTTTTCATCTTCTCAAACAATGCTTACACAAACAGTACACATAGGACTTGTTATGCATTGTAACAAACAGAAACGCATATAATCCATATATTAAGAAAGTATAAACCCTGTGTCATAACCTCTTGCCCTCTTGTTACGCACCTATCGCCATCACTCTCTTCATGCAGCCCTCTATCTAAACACATTTATCCCCGTTCTCACACTTCCCTTATCTGACACTCCTTTTCTGCTCTTCTCACTGTATCATCTAAACACACTTTCCCTCTGTTTTGAACTCCTCCACATTCACTTTCTGTTCTGTTCTATCTGCTTCTGTCCTTTGATGAGCTCCCACTTGCACCCTGTGTACTTGCACCTCATATCTCTCGTGTATATCATAAGTTTAACTTTCCCATTCTGAGTCAACATCTCATCCCTGTGTTCACCTGTGCACACGCTATAGTGCTTATCAGCGTCTTTATATTTTGTATTTTGTATACTTTATATCCTTGGAGATTTATTGCAGCTTCTTCACAGAATAGGTTAAGACCTCCTGGGTTCTTTAAAGGAATGTTCCGGGTTCAGTACAAGTCTATGGATTAAGACAGTAGTTTCTATTCTTTCTTCAGTGAAGGAAACCCATATAAATGCCCTTACAATGGGAATAGACTTTGGAATTACATTAATAAACATTGTTTCAAAATTATAGTTACATTATGTGTTAACATGAGACTATTGTGACAGAATCGTCAAGTTATATCCAGTTTTTAACTCCAGCAATTTAAAGCTGGTAAACACGACAGAATTTCCCACAATGTGCTCTAAAATATGCAAATGGAAAATCCAGCCAAAGGATTTATATATGCAATGCATAACCTGGGGCTTATTAATCTAGAACAGAAGCCTCACTGCTAAATTCTAGACAACTTTACCCCCAAATAACATTTTTGTTTGAAAATTATTGTTGAATTTAATATCTTTGGTAATTAACCGCATATCACTGGTATTCTTTTAAAGGTCCCATTAATTTTTCTCCTGTTAATGGATGATATGTAGAGTCAATATGGTGGTCTGAAGAAGCTACAAAGTAGCATCAATAACAATCCCCTAAATAAGGGATAGTTCTCGTGAAAAGGAACGTTCTGTCATCATTTACTCACCATAATGTCATTCCAAACCTGCATGACTTTTTTGTTTTTGTGGAACATCAAAGAAGATATTTTGAGAAATGTCTCAGTGGGGTTTTTTGTCCATACAGTAGAAGTCAACGGCAACCAAAACTGTATGTTTACCAGCATTCTTCAAAATATCTTCTTTTATGTTCCACAGAAGATGTAAAGTCACACGTTTAGAATGTCACAAGGGTGAGTAAATGATGACAGAATTTTCATTTCTTTATGGAGCTTATAAATATTCTACAGCATCAGGTTGTAAAATTCTTGGTTCTATTCAAAACCTTAACATTGTGGACCCTGCTGGTAACTTTACACAGTATAGAGTCATCAAATAATCACTCTATTGGTCCCCGGATGTTTTCTTAATGTTTTAATAACTGTGAGTCTGTGTCATCATTTACTCAGCATAATGTCATTCCAAACCTGCATGACTTTTTTGTTTTTGTGGAACATCAAAGATATTTTGAGAAATGTCTCAGTGGGGTTTTTTGTCCATACAGTAGAAGTCAACGGCAACCAAAACTGTATGTTTACCAGCATTCTTCAAAATATCTTCTTTTATGTTCCACAGAAGATGTAAAGTCACACGTTTAGAATGTCACAAGGGTGAGTAAATGATGACAGAATTTTCATTTCTTTATGGAGCTTATAAATATTCTACAGCATCAGGTTGTAAAATTCTTGGTTCTATTCAAAACCTTAACATTGTGGACCCTGCTGGTAACTTTACACAGTATAGAGTCATCAAATAATCACTCTATTGGTCCCCGGATGTTTTCTTAATGTTTTAATAACTGTGAGTCTGATGAGAAAGCAAAGCACTCCGCTTTCATGAGCAGAATTAGGCCGTGTGTGTGTAAACGTTATTACTGATAGTTTAACCACCTGGAGTCCTTCAGTTTTTTATATCACATCCACAATTTTCCTCTCCTGAATGCAGAAATCTCTTTCAGACTCTTCTAATGTTTACCGCTAGATGCATCTGTGTTATTACTTCAGTGTTTTCTCTCACTATTTATTTTGCTTTTTTACTCTCTGATTCTCTCATTCTCTCTAACTTACCCTCATATCACCTTGCCAGAAATACTGTAAATACTTCTGTGTGTGGTAAGAATGGACATAATCTGGATTAAAGGAAAGATTAGTGTTTAGTGAGTGTTTTTGGATTCCTGATCTATTTCCAGAAGCCGATTGGCTAATTTGAGATCCAAAAGCTTATACCTCCACTACCCCACTACACGGATTACCTGCTTTCACACACACAAACCTCTCTCACACACATTGCAACACTCTTTCACAGTTTCTTCCCAAGCTGATGGTGTGTACGAAGGCAGAGTGTGACATTTGACAAAACACGGGGGAGATTTTATACAGGTGGGAGTGAGAAAGAACTTTAAAGACTGAACAGAGGAAGAGATGGGTGCGAAACAAAAGGAAACCACAGAGTATTGAAACACTCAACGACAATATGGCATGTGTTACCTTTTAGCGGTTTATGAATCTACATATATGAGGCAAATCTTGAGACTCATGATAATGTCAATGGTTGTCAACTGAAAACTGAAATAACTTTGATGCTCTGTGTTGTATCTTTACAGTTATTAATGTAGGTTCATTTTCATTCACAGCTAGTTGAGTTCAAAGCACTTTTTAGAAGTTAGTCTCTCAGGATGGGTCAGTTTTTCGTTTTTATAGGATGTTGTTGACTTGTTGATTTCCCTTGTATAGTGGCAGGGGTCCTCAGAGACTTCTTGTTATGGAAAAACAGAGGACAACTGCCACCAGTTTCCAGCAGCTTAACACCCTGCAGCTCTTGACTGGTTACCCACTGAAGCTAAGCAGGGATAAGCCTGGTTAGTACCTGGATAGTTGACCTCTTGTTTCACTGCCCAGGGAGTTGTCAAGAATATTATGACCATAATTATACCACTGTCAAGAATACAGTGCGCTAAAACGTTGCTCCTTATAGAACTTCCCTGAGTGCACTAGTGAACACCGGCTCCTCACTGTACTTATTTTTTCTGAAATATTCTCTTGTCTTTTTCAGTCTGTTAAGTCATCAGACTTAGGACGACCTCATATTACAGCATTGCTGTACTTTTTATTACAGTTAAGTAAGATGCACAATAAACAAAATGAATGATGATCAGCTGTGGTGACAAACAACGATGATCAAGGTCCTTGCTAGTGCCTTAATTTGATTCATAGAATACTGATTCATGTCATAGGAAGCTTGAACACATCATAGATACAGGTTGCAGAGGAAGAGGCTTTAGAGAAGTCAGCAGGGGCCCTGCGGTCTGCGTGGGTACTAATAGTAATGGGGACACTCTGCCTTTTCTAGGGCATTATGGATGCCATTGCATCATCCAGGTGGTTGAGGAGATTCCCACAACCTGTGCTTCATGTGAAAGTTGAAGAAAACATCTGTACAAGTGCATGGACATACACATTCGTTTTGTCAGAGTGATTGACCATTTCTTTGTTTCCAGCCATTTACTCTCTTGGCAAGTCTTCAGAGGTTGACACTGGAATTTCTTTAGTTATTCTAAATTTTGATGGGAATCTTTTGCCAGGGCTAGTGTTGTTGAAAGTACCAAGTTGATACTGAAACTAAAAAAATGTAACAGTAGGTGCTGCTTTCAAACAGTTGCATTGAGCGCTGCAGCCAATCACAGACATTTATGTCAAGAGCATGAATGCAATGGCCAATCAGATGTGTCCAAGTTACTAAGAATCCACTTCATACCTATCAAAGTGGATGTTTTGTTCAGTGCGAGTTCATCGACTAGTACTGCATGCTCGCAAATCCTAAAGAGTGTGAAACACTGATCTTCGTAGCAATGAAAGGGACAAAAATTCTGACGTCAAAATAGATCTGTGCATTAAAACTTGGAGTATAAACAGATTTTAAGAGTAGTGTTCACTTATCAAAATAGTTGAAGTTTTGTTGGTTTAATGTATTATTTATTTAACAAATTTAATTGACATTTTAACATTTTTATTTTCGATTAGAGTTTAAATAGTTTTTGCTATGGTACCAAAACTGGTGCAGTGAACCATGAATTTTTACTGGTATTTAACTGAAATTTTGGTATTGTGACAACACTAGCCAGGGCAGTCTACAACTTTTTTGGGGTTTAAGATGCTCATGCACAGTTCTCTCCTATTCCTCCTTTATGAGTCTTATTGTGTGGGATTATTGCTTTCTTATTGTGTGGGATTATTGCTTTCACAAGACACTCAGCTCTGGGAATGTTCACAGTTGCACCTTTTAAATGCTTTAAAACTTCAGTGTCTCCATGTGACTTGGAGAGGAAAAAAAATAAAAAATACTGTTGAAGTGGACAAATATGGACAAATTCAGTATGGTTCCTTTTTGTAGATCTATTAAATGTGTAGGATGTGTAGTAATGACTTATAATGACACCCGATATTGTAGCTGTCACCTGACAAGTAGGGATGGGTATTGTTAAGGTTTTAACGGTATTACTACTCTTAGATACTGCTTATCGATCCGGTACTTTAACGGTATTCTTATCGGTACTTTTTGTTGTATGTATATATATATATATATATATACACACAAGTAAATATTTCTTAAATATATACATGTATGTGTGTACATATGTGTTTTATACATAAGATACAGTAAGAACATGAACAAAGAAACAAAGTAAAACAAACTGACATTACAAAAGTAATCAAATGTAAATGAACACTGCTTTCACTGTATGTTTTGATAGATTAATGCTTATTAAAGCAATTGTTATTCAGATTAAGAGCTGTGAGTGATTTTTCTCTTTGCATTTTGTTGTTTGTGTAACATTGATGGCCCAAGTGCACCCGAAGCTCAAAGTGTAATTTGCTTGACCGTGCACACACATTTCAGCCTGGGCAACAGCATCTCATGTGCTTTCAACATTTTATTATCAAACATGTCCCACAATTTAGCAACAGTAAAGACAGCATTTTACAACAATCACAAATTGAGCTGATTCTAACGTTAAGTTTGGGTTTTAGGGAGGAACGAATGTGCGCCACTGTGAAGGGAAAGAAGTTGCGCTAGAAGAATGTCTTCTTTTTTTATAGTGCTTAGAAGCAATAATCAAAGTAAAAAAAAAATCAATTAGCTTAATATAACAGCCACAAGGCTAAAGTGTAAGCAGATGTTTGAATGTTTAGTTCTCTCTTCTATCATAGTCAAACAGTGCTTTCATGTTGCGCGTGCTGAAGCTCCTCCGCATGAGCGCGATCTCGCTTCTGAATTGCAAATAGCAAAAATGCATCATAGACAAATGTTTGAATAATATTGCATATAAAAACAGCTGACGACTCTGGTGAGATAGAATTTGCAAGATAATGTCTATATAGCAATAACAAATGTATGTGTGTTTTCTTAATTTCTCCAGTACCGACAGCAGAACTGTTAACGTCAGAGCTTATCGGTACTCGGGTCTTTCATAATTTAGCCCCAAGACCAATTAAATACCGGGTTTCGGTACCCATCCCTACTGACAAGTGTTGTTCTGTGCAAGCAAGATGATACGTTTATGTCAGGCACTGATAACAGAGGCCCACATGTCAGTTTGCTCTATCTGTGTGTTTTTCAGAGTGTCTAGACTGTTACTTTGTTGTTTTAATGACTTAATTTGCTAATTTGTAGATATGTGTTCCTATACATTTTAAAATGCTATTTTAGCGATCATGCTAAAGATGTAGTGATAGTGAGTTCTGAATAAGTGTGATTGTTTGTTCTCAAAGGACGTTAACTCAAGCACACAAAATCTCTCTTTCGTTGTCTCTGGTCCCGTAATAGCTGCATGGTCAAGTAACCGTGCTAGTTGGCCAGAATGGATCGATAAGTAGTGTAATCAGGGCTTGTCTGGGTTATCCAACTGCATTTAGATCTGTTACCATGGTGCCTTATATCACCCTGATCATTCAGGTACCACAGAGAATACTTTAATCTGCCATCAAATGATGAACGTCATTGCTCTCTTACGCCTATAAACATAAATTCATGCATTTTTGTTGGAGAATTTGAGAAAATCCACAGAACTGAGCATCCTACTGACCGAAAAATCATACCGAAAACAGCATTGGTCATTTTTTTGCTATTAGGCAAATCGAGTTGTGAAATACCTGCTTTGAGAGTCTTTGTTTCCGAGTACGTCTGCAAGTCGCCACGCACCTATTTGTGTGTGTTCCGCTACATAAGCAAAAGTGACTTTTTCAAAAAGCCACAAAGCCCTTCAAAGAGCGAGAGAGACAGCCGGAGTGAGAGACAGACAGAGAAAGTAAGAGAGAGAGAGGCCAAGTCTTCTTCCCAGTGATGGTTATCGTACCTGCCCTGTGTCTTCAGACAGACACACTGCTAAAAATACCCATCGGAAACGGCCAACACAGCATCAAATCTGAACTTTCTTAAAGTGTGGTCAAACGTCAGACAACGGAGATTGCTGTTTGTGCTCACGTGTGGGCTGGGATGGGGGTTAAAGGGGGCTTTTCATGTGAATGATGATGTGTGTTTGTGCTTTCATGCCAATAAAAGCATGCTTGTGATGTGTGTTTATGTACATGTGTTAGTGTATGTGCACGCATACATTTTACAGTGTTAGTTGTTTAGTATGTGTAGGTGTGTGAATAACACTGACACTTTCCATGAATAGGGTCCTAACTAAGCCCTAGTACTCTTAGAAATGTTGGCTTTTCTTAAACGTGCTTAAAAATGTTAATTATTAAAGCGATAGTTTCTTTCTTTTGCTGAACACAAAATAAGATATTTTGAAGAATGTGGGTAACCAAACAGTTGCTGGTCCCCAATGAAATTCCATAGTAATTATTTTCCATATGGGGACCATCAACAGTTTGGTTACCAACCGAATCAAAAAATATTTTTTATGTTCCATGGAAGAAACTAACTCACAGGTTTGGAACAATTTGAGGGTGAGTAAATGATGACATAATTTTTATTTTTGTGTGGTCTATCCCTTTAACTTCAATTAAAATATGACCTGTTTTTTTTTAATCCTGTTAACAAATTTGAGACATGTCTAAACCTGATTTGTATGACTTGTTGTTTTTAGCAATAAACATTAAATAAACACCAAATTTAAATCTAAATTTAAATCAAATTGAAATGTAATTAAATCTAATAAAATAAAAATCAGAATGAGTAACAGGTTGTTAATTTACTATAAATTAAGCCGTCTCTCAGTAGACTCTAGCTAGTTTGACCAAAGTTTTGATTTGTAGTTATTGATAAACTTGTATAAGAAAAAATATTTCCTTGATAATTATGATTTATGGATTACAAGGTTGAAAGCTTAACAAATGCAACAAGTAGGACACAGCTCATTTTCAGTCATGAAAATGAAATTGTTTTATTTTAATAATTAATTAAAATAATTGAATTTACTTCCAAAAATAAAAATAAAAATCAAACAGATGATGTCAAAATTTTGACATTGTGGTGTGATTTCATTTTTTTCAATAGAGTCTGATATAGAGACAGGCCTAAATCAATATTTCAAGACAGAGAGACATTGGATGTGTTTACAACTATAGTTGCATTTCATGCTACATCACGATTATATTGAATTTTTTATTTAACATATTTAGAACATATATAGATACACGAAACATATTAATTGCCTAACTAACTATTGTTCTGTGCCCTTCTTTAGGAAATCCAGTGCACAAGAAATCCCATCTAAGTAAGTACAACTGAGAATCTCAACCATTCAGTTATACACTGTCTGTTCACTCTGTGTAGCTATGCAAGTATGTTATATAGTCAAACACAATAGCAGTTTCCTAGTGTGTGCATGCTTTGAAAGGTGGCTTGTTTAACCCCCTTTGCATGTTGTTTTTTTGCATATCAGAGAACCCCTCCATTGTGGTTATAGGGAGGGGGCATGTATCAGTGTAGCAAAGCGGTGCATTATTACACCTGTAAAGAACACACACACACAAACACAATGCACCTGTATCCACATATATTTTTACTTCAGCCACAAAAGCTGTATGTTTAAACGTGAGCAAAGCTACCGTAGACACGCACGCACAGGTGTGCACAGCTATGGGTGTGTGCATCTGAATGAAGATAAGATCTGAGAGTATTTTGGTGAAAAGATGCTGTTTAAAACTCTTCCCGCTTTTGTGTTTGATTACAAGCGTGCATTGTGTAAGTCTTCTGCTCTTTCTTTCCTTCCTTATCTCCTTTAATTTTTTGTTTTATTTTTGCATTTAAATTTGAACTTTGTGACAATGTCCACTTGGTCATTTGATCTTTGTAGATCCTTCTATAAATTGTTTCTCAGTCAAATGCACTTTATAAAAATGTTAGGAAACCCTTAAAGGAAAAAAAAAAGATTTTGTTTCATATCATATTAGTGTACTGGCTTTATTTGAATGTGACTGTAGGTGGATTAGAAAACACGCAGAGCGTGGTTGGACCATGATTCATAATGACAAGCAATAACAACTCTACCGTATGCTGTGGCACCAATATCAAATGACGATCTTAACCAGCTTGTTTACACCAATACCCTCTACCACCTATCAGACCAGCCTCACATCCTTTCTGAACGGTTCCTAATAGCCAACAAGACAATACTTTACCATTTAAATGCTGCTTTCTCCTTTAATCAAGTACAGAAAAGGTACAAATCTGTCACTGGGGCAGTATCCTTTCAAAAGACACTAATATGTAATATTTAGGTACTAATATTATGCACCTTCAACATACTAATATGCACCCTTTACGAGTAAAAAAAAAAAAAAAGGGTAACACTTTAAGGTTTCCATGTTACACGCTACATGTACTTAATATTATAATAACAATAAATTATGCAAAATTACATGCAAGTAACCCTAAGACAAACCCTAACCATATAGTAAGTACATGTAGTTATTATTTAATATTACTCAGTACTTAAATGTATTATTACACTGTAACAAGGACACCTTAAAATAAAGTGTAACCAAAAAAAGTCTAAAAGTGTACATTTCGAAAGGTAACGTGACATGTGGCCAAGTATGGTTACTCATACTAGGAATTAGTGCTCTGCGTTTAACCCATCCAAAGTGCACACACACAGCAGTGAACACACACACACCGTGAACACACACCCGGAGCAGTGGGCAGCCATTTATGCTGCAGCGCCCGGGGAGCAGTTGGGGGTTCGGTGCCTTGCTCAAGGGCACCTCAGTCGTGGTATTGAAGGTGGGAGAGAGCGCTGTACATTCACTCCCCCCACCTACAATCCCTGCCGGTACGAGACTCGAACCCGCAACCTTTGGGTTACAAGTCCGACTCTCTAACCATTAGGCCACGACTTCCCCAAGTTACCGTCCCAGTGATAGCTTTTGTACCTTTTTTCCCTGAAAGCACAATCCGAAGAACAGAAATTGTTCAGGATGGTTTGATACTATTTGGGAGTTTTTAGTTGTGTGTGTGCGCACTGGTGGAAAGTGAGAGGGATAGAGTGAGGATTTCAGGATGCAATGAAGACAAACATACAGAAGTGAGCTGCTCACTGCTGAAATGGAAAGAGAAAGAGAAAGTAGAGTCCACCTATAGGCGGACAGAGAAACAGCACATAAAGTGCTTTAGAAGAGACATCATGCGTGTGTGACAGAGAGAGGTGTACCTTACAGTTTGAAAGGGACAGACCCTCTCCCTCTTTGTCACTCGCGGATAGAAACACATACAAATGCTCTCTCTCTCTGTCACCTACCGACCGAAAACCACCTAATCTCTCTGTCATCTCCCACCGTGCGACAGCATCATCTGTTCAGAAGTTTGATTAACTGTGAGACAGAGCTGTCAACCATATTGAGTGATTCTGACGTATAGCTTCACCAGAGAAAGACAGCAGTTCACACATGCTGTGAAGATGATGCGAGGTAGGCATTTATGTTTTGTGTCTGGCCTAATAAGTATGTATTTTTACTGATGTTTGTGTGGGTGTGTGACAAATGTTTGTATGCATCACATTGGATGCATCCTTGTGTCTTTGAAAGTAATGGGTTTCATTTTGGTTAGAGCAACTTACAAGTTGCAAAACACTTTTGTGTCTATTTTACTCTTCCGTTACGCTCATCAAACTCGAGTTTAGGACATAGTGATTATATATCCATTGCTTTCAGGCTCTCCGTTTGACCTTTTTGGAGTTTCGCTGTGCTGTTTGTAGTTGTACGCGACTCATTCCGCCATATTAACACGTCCGAGACTTCAGAGATGGATGATGGACATCCTGAAGGACCTTGATATGCAGGATTTTGTAGGAATACAGAAAGCAGTGTAGATCTGATTTTGAAATCAGGACTTTTATTTTTTATTTATTCAAAATACCTTTGCATTACCTGATGAACCTGATACACGACATAAGAATCAATGTTTTTTTTAAGAGAATGTATGTGCCTTTTATAATTTGAAATGTTCTTAAATATTCAGATTGACTTGATAAGAAGATTGTGCAGGAAAGTTTAATTTGCTTGAATTAATTCGTATATATTTGCCATGCAGCTACTTTCATTCTAATTCTATTTTTCATACTTGGTTTGTGTTTGCTTTTACCTTGTGTAATTTATTAATGGCTTTAACAGTAGACTCGTGTGTGTGTGTGTGTGTGTGTGTGTGTGTGTGTGTGTGAAGTGGTCCAGCGTGGGTGTGTGACTCTACCTGTTCTCACTGAGTTTAGTAATAGGGATTTTCACACATTCAACATCAAATATGCCATTTCCATTTCCAGTTCACCTTTGAGCCTAAGGCACAACATTAGTTTAGTCTAAAATCTGGTTTGACGTGAAAAACGGAATAAACACATTGGAAATTGATGCAGAAAGTATCCTTTTTATTTAACTTGGTACTTTCTTTGAATCTGAACAAAGTCTTATAAATGATTTGAAATAACAGGACTTTTCTATGCAAAGTTGTTCAAACATACAAAAAACACTATGTTTGTAACTCTTGCAGTCTACTCAATCATGCGAATATATCCTAAATTAATTGTGAATTTATCAGTTCTTTTGAACAGTGCTTTTCAACAAAAATAAGGCAGATAATTATTTAGATTTTTTATAGATATAAACTTTATATAGATTCATAAACTCACAATTAATGAACAATAGAGACAGTGACAGGTAAGGTCGATAAGTAATCAGTTCAGTCACAAACCTGGCAAGCCACAATATTGTTTAATGGTCAGATAAATTGATTATTAGTTTATCTTGTGCTTTGTGGCTGTTATGATTAGTACCACAACTATAGATATGACTGCGTCACTACAGATAAAGGGTTTAACGTGCAGATTATCTCATTAATAATACAAACACTGCAAGATAAGGTCTCGCTTACAGAAACTCTCTGAATTTAACATCCTCAGTTTTTAGTCATTGTGTTTGGCCTAAACGGAATGAACACAAAGTAACTGCTAAAAGGATAAAGGCGATCTTTAATTCTCCCTCTATTTTTGTTTACTTTGTCCTAAAACCCACACAGACAAAAACTGAGGACCCCGAAAGTATCAGATGACGCTCGTTTGTGAGGCTGGTGGTTGTGGACATTGTTCAGAAATGACTCTCAAATAGGCATTTTTGTACTGAATTTTCCCTACCCTAAAACTGAATTTTCCGTAGCAGCCCACATCACGTATGTGGTTAAATATCTGCTCATCAAAATTGCTACAATTCAAGCAGGACTTGCTGAACTCAGCTGTGCTGTATCTTATCACTTTGCATTATCTGATGCCGGTTTGCACTGAAGCTCTCGCTGTAGTCCAACACCCTGAAACCCTGAAAGCTTTTTTTTAGTGTGATTTTTTTTTAAAAAGCACCGTAAAAGAATTCCAGATTCCAACCACACCTGAGTCTGTCTTACCTCTTGCATTGATTTTCATTTAAAAATGATATTTTATATTGTGTGTGTATGCACTCGCGTAAAATAATTTCTCATAATCTTAATAAATGCTTAAATGCTGGATTGATGTAAACTGTGTCTACGCATTTCTTAGCAAAAAATGCTCATTTTTGAATTTTAATAACAAAACATAAACTGTTGAAAAAACATCCCAGGATGCACCTCATGAAGTTGGTTTAAAGAGAATGAACCGCAAAGTTAAAGAAAGTGAAATAAAAGATAGTTTTGATTTTATTTAATATTTTAGTCACTGTGTAATTCCCATACCTCCATATGTTACTTTATATTTGAATAACTTTAGTACTTTTTTAAAACATTGAAAATGTCCAGACTGCTAACTTTATATAATACTTTATATACTTTATTTATATTTTATTAAAAGCTAATGTTTAAGCATTTCTTTAAAGAATAAGGTTTGATGATACGTAAATTAAAATGTTATTAAAATTAACCGTATTTAAGAACAGAATCAGAAGCTATCTGAAATTTATGTGGACAGTTTACTATGGTTCTAATGCACAAAAGGCCTAAAAGGTCCTGTTTTCGTTCCGTATAAAGAAAAACAGAAAGAAGCACTGCTTTAGTCAGTCAGACTGAGGCAGAGAGGAAGGTACGAGCAGAGAGACCTTCCGGGATAGCGGTTTTGATCTTCATCCAATGAACGCAGCCGGAAAGAAATTTGGTGGATTTTATTGAATACACTTTTTGGTTTTATACGCACATTTAGAAAACATGCAAAGTGAGGCATTTTGCAACGTTGCACTAGATTCTAACTGCACACACACATACTTT